ACCTCAACATCCCCTTTTCTTCTACCTCTCTCTTCTCTTTCTTTTTTTTCTTCTTCTCTCTCTAAAATGAGATGATGCAAATGGCTCAGTGCCTAGCTCAATAAAGTACATTATGGTAGTTCTTTATTATTAAGAGAGTTCAAGGGAGGGGGTCCCATCATGTTCCACTGCAGAGCTTCCTGGACATGTGACTATAGCTGGGACAGAATCCACGGTTGCCATGGGAGACACAGTATCAGGCCAGGAGGCTTCATCCTGGGCACCAGTTTCCCCCCTTACCAACTTCCCCAAGAAACAGAAGTATCTCAAACTCTGCTCTAGGAAATCCTGGCCAAGAGATGAGAGTCAAGTGCCTTCTCTCTGCCAAGGGCTTTCTGCATGTGTGTTCCATGTACTTCTTCGAAGTCTAGAGAAAGCTGTGGACCCCTCCTCAGAGTGATGTTTCTTAAATGCATAAAATATAAAACACAGGATTCCAAAGGAAATCTATGAGATTAAATTGCAATGATCAAATATCTTAAATATACATTTTTGTTGTAATAATATCTGCTTCTGTGGTAATGCTTTAAATAACAAAATCTAACCATCAAACTCGAAATGTCTAAGCGATGAGTATAAATGATATGCCAAGATATCTGCAATAAATGTAATATGGCATGAAAATATCTTTGGTTTCTATCAGCAACAAAGTCATAAGTATAGCTAATACTAGGAAATGTTACATTTTAGCTAAAGGTTAGAGAAAATTAAAAGATGCAAATTTTGCTCGTTTAAATTCACAGAGGTACTGAATTCTATCCATGAAGCCTAGCCTCAAAGCTTCTACTATTATAATAAAGAGACTCATCGTTTATAACCTTGGGAACTTTCCCTTATTTGTTATGCCCTCCAGAACTATATCCAGCTCAATGTTACAGAACAAGGAAGTGTAAAGTGAATGTCAGGTCTTGAGCATTAAGTTACCTGTGCATCCAGGAAACAATTCATGGAAGGTTCGAATAGTTTAAAAACCATTCCTGATTCTCCCACCTATGTTCTATCTAGGCCCTGGGACAGGTTCTGAGAAAGAAAGAAAAAGATTTTAGAGTTCTTCCTCACGTAAGACTTTCTTCACACTCAGAGAAAAGACCCAATATTTGGGTCTATTTGAGGGACGCCACTCAACTGTGGTTGCTAGTTAAGAACAAGGGAAATAGTCTATACACCCAGAATATGCTTCTTAAGACGCATTATCCAAGAATTGCTGATATCACTTGACAGATGGCTATAAACTTGCTTAGTCCAGCCCCCAATAAAGAAAGACACTTCATTAAACTGAGAGGCTGTATGAAGTCACTGTGAGTTGTTTCTCTCCAATGTGAAGTTTTAGCTCATGGCACAGGGTTAAGAGCGGGGGTCTCACCAATCCGAAGGAGCTCTTTTCAAATGTCAGCTTTGCCACTGCCTATGTTTATGACTTTGGGAAATTGTTTAAACCATTTGACCCTTTTAGGTTCCCCGGGTGTAAAATAGGGTTTATAATAACAGCAGCATCACCTCATAGGGTTTTTCTGATTAAATATAAATATTATACAAAATTCTTAGGACACAGCCAGGCTCATACTAAGAATTCGGTTTATTAGTTTCTGCGTGATTGGGGGCTGGTGAAAAGAAATGCTTCCTGCTGGTCTCTGAGTAAAGATGATGCTGGCTTGTACCTACACCTTCAGCTGTGGGTTTTTCTAGTCGTGGTGTAAGGGTTAATACTGTGGCGGGGCGTGGGCAGCTCCTGTTTAGATAAAGCCACATCCCAAAGCTTCCTCTCAGCCCTTTTGCTACGGTGCGGGTTTTTCACCACCTCTTTGAAGCTTCAAAATTGACAAATGTTATTCAATCATTCCCTCCCTACAAAGACACTTACCTGTAGATTTTCAAAAAGAAAACACAGGAAATTGGAGGGGAAAATAAAACTTCAGTTTCTGGCATTGAAGGTGGGGGCGTTTCTAGAGACTTCTTCAGTCAGTGACCATGTACATGCCAGGGATTTCTGTTTTTGTGTTTTTCTTAGCTTGAAAAAGACTATATGGCCAGGAGTTAGAAAATTTAATTAGGAGTGATAGATGAACATTTCATTTGGATGTTTTACGCTGCTTAATGAATTGGAGACACAACTAAGTAATTACGCAATTAATATTTAAAATTTTCTAATTGTGTTGGTTTCTTATACGTGAAAGAGAATATTCACAATGGATTGAAATGAAGTCTTTTCAAACCTTGCCAGTATATTACAGGTTATTAAAGTGATACTGATAGGAGAGTAGTAGGCAAAGTTGCTTTGCAAAGGGGCAGCTAGTGAATATTTTAGGCTCTCTGAACCAGATATGATCCCTGTTGCATGAACTTCTTAGTTTCTTCTTTTTTTTAAATGTATTTTTTTACTTGAGGTAACACTGGTTAGTAACATTGTATAAATTTTAGGTGTACAACATTATAATTTGATATCTATGTATTATACCATATGTTCACCACCAAAAGTCTTCTTTCCATCTGTCCTCATACATTTGACCCCCATGACCCATTTTGCTCTCCCTTCTGGGAACTACTATTCTGTTGTCTGTATCTGAGAGTTTCTTTGTATCTTCTTTGCTTTATATTCTACATATGAGTGAAATCATACAGTTTTTGTCCTTTTCCATCTGATTTATTTCACTTATCATTATACCCTTGGGGTCCTTCTGTGTTGTCACAAACAGCCATAATTCATCTTTTTTGGGGCTGAGGAGTATTCCATTGTATGTATGTACCACATTTCTTTATCGAACCATCCACTGATGAACACTTAGGTTGTTTCCATGTCTTGGCTATTGTCAATAACGCTGCAATGAACACACACACACAGATATATATATCTTTTCAATTTAGCATTTTCATATCTTCAGATAAATACCCAGAAGAGAAATTGCTGGGTCATATGGCATCTGGCAGCTGTATTCTTTCCAGTTTATATTCCTGCCAATAGTGCACGATGGCTCCCTTTTCTCCATATCGGCTCTAGCACTGGTTATTTCTTGTCTTCTTTAATAGTCATTCTGACAGATGTGAAATGATATCTGATTGTGGTTTTGATTTGCATTTCCATAGCAGTGAATTTTTTAAAATGACTCTTTAAATGTGGGGGAAAAGACATTCTTTGCTCAGAGGGCTGTACGAAAACAGCCATGGGTTCTGGGGCTGTAGTTCGTTGTCTCCTGCTGTAGAACATAAAAAATGTGAGGGATTTTGTCCCTTCTGAATAAATAATCACTCATTCATCTTCTACAACAAACATTCTCTGAGTAGCATAAAGTGCCCCATCCTGAGGCTGGCTCTGGGTGCATTATGATGATCAAAACAGACCCGGCTTCACCCAAGGAGAGCATACTTTCTTATGGGAGAGACAAGCAATCGGAGAATCAGACCGATTTATGATGGTAGGATGCCTCTGTAGTTACAAACAAGTGGCTTACTCGAAACAAAGACATTGACTGGATACTTCAGATAAGAGAGATGGACTCACAGGCAGGGAGTGTTGTTTCCAGCTGTTGCACCTGGTTAGTACATCACCTGTCCCCTAAAGTGTGCTCTCCCGGCTCATGCTTTGCCTGACACTGGGGACAGTCCACATGTTCCCACAGTTCTAGTCCTTTCTGGTATCGCTTTGTCCCACTGCCACGCCTACCCCAAGTCCCACCTGCCCTTTGTCCTGTTTAAGCTTCCTAGTGTGAGTAAGAATTCAGGTTTTTAAGAGTCAAATTGTATCTCTTCTCCTATTTCTTGTAATGTGTTAGTATATCATTCCTCAAAATACTGATTTCTTTCTCTTGGTTGTTGAAAATAGGATGTTTGGGGGTTACTTTTCCAGTTTTTAGTGGCATCAGATAGACTTAAGACCTCAGGTTTTCATCTGGAGTGTATGGGTAGTGGAAGTTGGTATTTCCACTTAGAATTTACCGAATAGTTTGTGAATCCTATTTAGCCTAAAAACTTGAAATGGATGTGGTACTACCTTCATTTCTCACTATGGTTTATTAAGTGATGGTATCAAGTGCAATTAGGTAATGGGTCCCCTTCAGGAGCTATAGTTACCTCCATTTCACCCGGACTGTATTCCCGTCACTGCTCCCCCACAACCTCGAACACCTGCAGTAGGTGAAGACTGTTAATTGAATAACTACAGATCCCTTCTCCGATACAACGCCTGGTTCCAAACCACCTACTCATCATCGTCCTTTCTGCTCCCTTGTGCAGAGCAGTCAGTGTGGGAGGGTTGCTCTCCTTCAGAGACAGCTGATGCTTCAGCTCTGGGTAGCCTGGGTGTTGATCAGAACAGGACAAGGTAACGTTTAGAAAAGAGCAAAGACTCCGGGAGCATTATGGCAATCTCTTTGTTTTTACCAAAGAGTTGTCATTCTTCCTCCATTCCCAAAGCCTCCTGCCATGCCCTGAGTATAGCTAACACTCCGTAAAAGCATGTTCCATTTATTCAACGCTTACTGAGGACCTGATGTGTGCTAGATGTTGTTTATAGTCATGAAGAAGAAAGAGAGGTTCCCTGCCAGCGTGGAGTACTCAGTCTGGGACGAGTGGGGAAAGGAGGGAAAGACAGATATAAGACCACTAGGTAGAGTCAGAGTTATTTAAGTTGTTCTAAATTGTTACATAGGAAAAACGTATGAGTTCATATAAATTAAAATGTATAGGATTATATAAAATATTTTCCAAGTTTTTCTAGATTTCTTCTAGGCAGTGGCATTTAAGCTAAAATTTGAGGGGAAAATAGGAGGCACTGAATGAATGGCCAGAGGCAGGGAAGACCAGACAGGTGCACACTAGCATTTATCCTGGAATAAAAATTCACAGCATATTATTTATGAAAACTCTACTGATGTTGAAGTGTCCAGACACTTGAAGTGTACGCTCGCTTTTTCCCAGAGCACACCTGCTCAACCCAACTCCTCTCTCCTGTTTTGTTTCCACATCAGAATATTCCACCAACAACCCTGACTTGTGGTTAGTCATATTCCAAGTGACAGGCGTCAGCCTCCTGCCACCGCTGGGCATTGCCATCGCTGTCATCATTGCCTTTTACTGCTACCGTGTTCACCGAAAGCAGAAGCTGACGCCATCCTGGGACACCAGCAAGCCACGGAAGCTCATGGACCTCAGCGAGCACCTCGCCATCATTCTGGAAGACGACCGCTCCGACATCAGCTCCACGTGTGCCAACAACATCAACCACAACACGGAGCTGCTGCCCATTGAGCTGGACACCCTGGTGGGGAAAGGTCGCTTTGCCGAGGTCTACAAGGCCAAGCTGAAGCAGAACACCTCAGAGCAGTTCGAGACCGTGGCGGTCAAGATCTTTCCTTACGAGGAGTATGCTTCTTGGAAGATGGAGAAGGACATTTTCTCAGACATCAACCTAAAGCATGAGAACATCCTCCAGTTCCTGACGGCCGAGGAGCGGAAGACAGAGTTGGGGAAGCAGTACTGGCTGATCACTGCTTTCCATGCCAAGGGCAACCTACAGGAGTACCTCACGAGACATGTCATCAGCTGGGAGGACCTGTGCAAGCTGGGCAGCTCCCTCGCCAGGGGCATAGCTCACCTGCACAGTGACCACACCCTGTGTGGGAGGCCCAAGATGCCCATCGTGCACAGGGACCTCAAGAGTTCCAATATCCTGGTGAAGAACGACCTGACCTGCTGCCTGTGTGACTTTGGGCTCTCCCTGCGTCTGGACCCCACTCTGTCTGTGGATGACTTGGCCAACAGTGGGCAGGTAAGTTAAACCTGGATCACCCACCCCCACTTCTGAACCCCTAAATAGCCCTACACTCTTGACACTTATCCATACCCCACCCTCTCCTGACAGGGGGCCTTTGTGTATGAAAAGCACATCTCCTCCTGTTTCTTTAAATCCTCCCCAATTCAGGACAGACAGTTTTCTCCTTGCATTGACCTTCATTTCTCTTCCATTTGAAAACTGCTTTTTGTGTGTGTGTGCTTCAAATGCTGTCAGCAGTTCATCTCACTCTTTTCCTCTCCTGTGGTCATACTCAGCCCTTTCTAGTCTTACTGCTGTTAGTACTGTTAGTGGTTATATTGTTCTGCTGCATTTTGTTTTACGCTGTTCTAGAAGGCACTCTCCTTGAAGTCCAAATCCGCATCCATGTGGTCACAACCAGCACAATGCCTTGAACGGTGAACGTGACCAGCGCGTACTGGTTGTGTGAGTGATGGAGTGAGTGAATGAACCATTCCACTTTTGAAGCATCCCACAGGGTAAAACCGAAACCTGTTTAGCTCAGGAAAGTGACTAGAAATTACCAAGACATCCTTTTTGAATGACGGGGCCCCATGTTTTCACATACTGGAAGCTTAACTGTGGATTAGAACGGAGTCTCCAGAGCACCACCGTTTTCTCTAACCAGGTGCAGGAACGTGCTGCTGAAGCCTTTAGTTACTGCTCAGTCAGCCCGCTGGGTCCAGGGCTGCCCAGGCTGTCTTGACGTAAACATATCGAAATACGAACAGATTACGTGCCAAGAGAATGACTCATGCAATGACCTATTAAAAAGAAGAATTTCTTCTACTGCATGCAAAAAAACCCAACATTCTTTGGGATGATAACATCAGTGTGCTTGACCTTCCTTAGATTCTTGGGAAAGTAGAACTTTAATGTTATTCAGTAAAGCTCTATATGCTGCATTAGCCAACATTTAAGTGATTCCTTCCCTAGAAACGCCTTTTTTCCCCCCTTTGAGTCTCAGTGTTTTCATATTATCAGTCATAGTCTAAATAAAACTCCATAAAGATCCAGATTTGGCCTTTTACTGTGGAAATATTTTCATACAATTTAGGAAAAATTTATGAAATTATACCACATTCTCGGCACACTAGAATGTGCTATGGAGCAAACAAAAAGGAGTAGGACAGGCTTTAAGTGACCAGAATGATGGGCAAGTATAATTATTTCCACCCTAAATCTTGGAATTTCAGGAATGAAAAAATATTTAATTTGCAGAAGCAAAAATAAACATGTAAAGTATCACAGATGTTGTCCCAGGTTATCTGCAAGGATGTTATTGTATAAGACGGTGACATATATCACGGATCTCAACAAGGCCGCTCTGGGGTTTGGCATTTCCTTATTTTGGCATGCTTTGTTTATATTATTTAAAGGGTGTTCAGGAAGAGAACACCTATTTTTAAAAAATAATTACATAAGCTCTCCCTGTCTGTGCAGGTCTCATTATTTTTAAAAGCCTTGTGCTTTTTTAAAGATGATCTGCCCATACAAGGGACAAACATCGGCTATATTTTGAAAATAAAAATGCAGTTGGAATTAAATAATGGGCCTCCATGGTTGTTTTTGCCTTAGGTGGGAACTGCGAGATATATGGCCCCAGAAGTCCTAGAGTCCAGGATGAACTTGGAGAATGTCGAGTCCTTCAAGCAGACAGACGTCTACTCCATGGCTCTGGTGCTCTGGGAAATGACGTCTCGCTGCAATGCAGTGGGAGGTATGTATGGACCCCCATGCTGGTGCTGTGGTGGATGTGCCTTCAAAATGATGCCTAGAGTCATGTTATTTGCTTCACACATGACTCTAGGGGTACCAAAGAGCTAGCCCCACAGTGAGAGCTAGTTGGTATCTGGTAGTGTATAGCCATCACTGTACAATTTGAAATTGTGCTAAAAAGCCTAAAACCTAGGTCTTTAACTGGAAAGCTATATTTGGAGTATAAACCTTTCTATCTCCTTTCTTAGAGTATAATTACTTCTTGTTCTTAACATACCTCTCCACAGCTTTTTTAAATATCTGGCAGGTGATGGACACTAGCAATGTAAGAATTATTTTTACTTATCAAATGGATAATATTTAGAAAAATATTTGATTGTGTGTGTGTGTGTGTGTGTGTGTGTGTGTGTGTTTTAAGCTTTTTTCAGAATTATAAGATCTGGGAGATGGATTTGACTAAAAATTTACTTTTATGGATGTGACTTTCCTTTGTTGGACAAAACAAGCAGAGTGATTTAAGTTTTTTTTTTAAGTTTTGAAAAACTTCAATAACGAGGTTCTTAAAGAATGCAGCACTTATCAGGGGTGCAAGGGGATGTCATTGTTTTAGAGAATATTGTCACCTAATTTTTCTGGACATGAGAATGGCTGAGGCCCCCTTTACTTTCTGCTTCCCTGAGTCTCTTCTCAGCAGTTTTCATCAGTTTATGCATCTCAACGTGGACCTGGCTGACTATTAAGTCACACTGACTCCAATTTTATTTTTAACTCTTTGTTTTGTAATAATTTTAGACTTGAAAAACAATTGCAGAAATAGCAAGGACAGGAAGTTAACAGCGGTACAATACTCTTAATTAAGCTACAGAACTTATTCAAAGTTCCAAGTCCCCGGCCATGGTTTTTCTGGAACAGAATCTAATCCAGGATCCCCCGTTAACATCTTACGCTCATGCCTCCTTAGTCTCCTTAGACTTGTGGCAGGTATCAGCCTTTCTTTGTCTTTCATGACCTTGGCACTTGTGAAGAATTTAGACCAGTTATTTTATAGATGGTCTCTCCCTTTGGGTTTCTCTGACGTTTTCTCATGATCAGATTGAGATAGTATATTTTGGGCAAGAAGACCACAGAAGTGACACCGTGCCTTTCTCAGTGCCTCCTATCAGGGCCTGTTCAACTTGACCACTTGGTGTAGGTGGTGTCTACCAGGTTTCCTTCCCTGTAATTGTTGTTTTCCATTTGTAAATAATGCATATCTTATGGGAAGGTACTGTGATCTGTTTCTAAAGACACTAAACACATGCATAGTTGGGATTCTAGACCTGTTTCTTATCATAATTTTACCTACTAGTTTTAGGATCCATGAGTAGTTCTTGCCCACAACAATTATTACCATAATGTTTTTCTAATAGTGACTTTCTATTCTTCTTATTCCTCCTATGTTTATTATAGGAGGAATGATAAACATAAATTATCTATGTTTATAGATATTCCATTACAAGGAATACCTATACTTCTTTTCACCACCCCTTGTCATTTACCTATTTAATTATGTATTGATATCAGTATGGGGTTGTGGATATTCATTTTAATCTGTGGAAATCCAACATTATCATTATTTATTTTGTTGCTTCAATTGCCACAGCTTTGGTCACTGGGTCCATCTGCCCAACATTCTGCCCAGCGTGGACTTGATTGACACACTTTCTGGATCTGATTTTTCGTCTCGTTTAGAACATGCTTAGCCAGTTTTCCAGGATGGGTCCCAGTCATCCCTCCCCCTGAGCACCTCACTGCACCATCCCATTTCCATCGGTGCCTGCATGGAGATGGTACTTCCTAGCCACCTGACGCCGTCGTTTTCTGGTTTGCCGCCTGAGATTTCTTCCCCCACAGCACTTTCAGAAGTAACTTGTTTTTCCCTTGCACAGTGAAATTTGTTTAACCAAGTTTCAGCTGCTGAGAATAATTTTCTGTTTGAAAGCTTTGACAGTTCCAGAATGAATCCTTAGACCCGTATGAGCTATGGAAGAGATGATGCTGTTGTCACTGTCAGAATAAATTTACCTAAATTTCAGCATCTTTCCTATCCTTTCAAACCCGTTATTCCATAAACATGAGCTGGAGATGGTGTCTCTCTGTCTTTTGCTGTTAGGACAGCCAGCTTGTTAGGGCCGAGTGGGAGCTCCCTGCCTTCGTTGTTATCAATGATGGAGCCCTTTCCTGTTAATATTTGCTGAGTGTGGAAGAACTCGGGCTAATGGGGAAGCACAGAGTTCACCGACTTTGATGAGCTCTAAAAACAGATGCAGGGTAAACAAGTTTTCCCAAGGAAGGAACAGGATCGCATTTGTTCAGCTTTTCTCAGAAAGCCTTTCATAACCTTCAAGGTAAGAACTGACAGATGGCTTTGGGGGAACCGGAAAGAGGCCATCCCAGTTCTCATGCTGTTTGATCTCCAGCCCACAGCCCTGTTTCTTTCATCTCTGCTCAGTCTGTGAAAAACCAAAGTTATTTCTCTATCGTCATTTTGGTCTAACAGAAAGCTCTTCACTTGATTAAATGTGTGAACTCCTATATTCAGTCCTTTTTATTTTTGAATCGGGTATTAAGTTTTACTCTTTAAAAATTCTTTTAAGAGCATTTTTTGGTATGTCTTAAAAACCTTAAAGACAGATGTTTTTAGCCCCATCTTAATTTCAGACTTTCCTTTTACATTTCAAGAATCTCCTGGAAGGTATAGAAAAGCCTGAAGACAAATGTGTTCCCTCCCGGCTCTTGTAGAAACACACATGTAAAGGCAGGTCTTGCTCTCAAGAAGCATGTAATTTACTGATTAATCAGACTTTTTTTTCTCCTTTACTTCTTAAAAATTTACACATGCAGACACAGTTCTTACCTTACAAAGAAAATCAATAATAGTGCCCTCCAGTTGATGTAGGGCTTTAATTTATCACGTCTAAGAGGGCAGGATGGGCATGGGCTTTCCTTAAGCTTACACTTCTGTTCTGTCCCTTGAAATACAGCATATGCAATTGCAATTTTTTATTGCCAGTCTCATTTCTGGAAAGGAAATGTAGAATATGCTTACATCAGTATGAGGGATTATAGGTCAATATTTTATTTCACACCATGAGGCAAGTAACATTCTATTTAGTTTGCTCTGAGCGGGAGAAGAGCTAACTGAATGAAGAAGGATACAAAGCAGTGAGGGACAGTCTTGCAGGAGAATGTGAACGCCCAGTTTTTTTGCCTCTGAACAAGTCCATTCTGTTCTTAGGGTTGAGCCCAAACTCTTCGCATGGATGTGAGCCGGCCCTTGCTTGCCTCTCTGGCTTCCCTGCACAGAGCACTCTTTTCCTTCTGCAGTCATCTTTATGGGCGGTTTTTTAGGTCTCACTTCCAGCCTTTGTCTCATGTTGACTGGGACTGGAACCCTGAAATCAACTTGTAAACAGCAGGCAAGTACATTTCAGAGTGGTTAGGGCTGCAGGGGACACAGGAGACTGAACGCCCAGGCCGGCTAAAGGGAGTGTGGCAGTGGGATCAGGCAAGGAGAACCAGGTCAGCTCTGGAAGGAACGATAAGACCCAGGGATGTCCTTGGAGTTGCCTCTTTTTCAGCCAGCCTCTCCTCTGTGCGGAGCAGCTCTGATAGAGCGCTATCCTGGGGAATCCTCACTCTTACCAGGTGAGAAGATGCACACAGGTGATAATAGCACCATTCTGAACCCAATTTGTACAACTTCATTAGCATAGATTTCTATCCAGGAGCTCAAGAGATATGTTGTCATTATTGCAGATGATGGTCAAAAGGGAAAGGCTTTCTGGTGGAGGTAGGTTTGCTCACGTAATAAAACACAAAGGGGCGATAGCTACCGTGACATAAGCACATGCTTCAAGGGTCAGCTCATTTAACCTAGCACGCATTCTTTGAAGCATGCACTGTTATTAGCGCCACTTTACAGAGGAGAAAACAGAGGTTTCTGGAAGTGGGGAAAATTGTGGAGCCAGGAACCAAAGCCCTGTTGTCTGACTGTAGGCCACAAGCCCTAGTCCACGCTGGCCTGAAACGCTAAGTACGTGTTTAGTAAGTGGCAGGTACAATCACATTATTTTTATTATGCACGGGGTAGTCAGTACTATTTTGTACATCCTGGTGTTGACACCGAGCCTTTCTGGAAATACCTGGCAAGACAATCACATGTTGAGGACACCCAAGGACAGCCTCGCTTCTGAAAGATTCCAATGACTGACTTTCCTGTCTCCTCCAGGCAAATCTCTGTTAACAGAATACCGAAGCCACCAAATTTGGCGGCATGTTGTGGACTCGGTGTCTTAAAGTCTGAGATAGCCTTCCTTATTCTTAAATTTCTTTGAAGATACATTCATTCATTTGTTCATCCACTCAACAGATATAGAGTACCTATTATGTGGCAGGCATTTTTCAAAATACTAAGGATGCCACAGTGAATGAAACCAGTCTCTGTCCAACATCGAGGGTGGGTATGATGATTTTAGAAAGAAAAGTAAAGCAGTTAGGGAGTGGATACTGATAAAGGGGGTCATTTTAGCTACTTTGATCATCTGAAAGAATACAAGAGAAACACCAAGAACACAGGGCTTTGTTGTTGTTTGAAAAGGGGACAAGAGAGAAAGGGGTGATTAGTGTGTTACTGTTTGATAAAGAAAAAAGTGTTAAAATCTCCATTCAGCGATGATAGGTTCTCTTTTTCAGAGAAATCTCTGTCCGTCCGTGGCTTTCAGTTTGTTTGGTGTTCATGCAAGTGTTTGCAAGATGTGTGGGAGGTGGGTGAAGGCAAGGTGCCTCTCAGGGCCCCCATTGGCCCGACAGGCCCAATATTGATGGCCCAGCCAAAACCAGCCCACAAGCCTGGCCAACCCCTAAACCCCTAGCCATTTAGGCCTTTATGGCCCTGAATAGGCCCTGAATAGAAGCTGACACACAGCAACCAGCTGAGCGAGGATTTAACAAAGAGGAAAA